ATGGTGATCATCAGTCCAACATGGCACACAGGGGATTGTGTCCAACATGTGTACATGTAGGGGATCAGTCAACATGTGCACATGTAGGGATTGTGTCCAACATGTGTACATGTAGGGTGATCAGTCCACATGGCACATGGGATTGTGTCCAACATGTACACCGTACATGTAGGGGATTGTGTCCAACATGTGTACACGTATGGTGATCAGTCACATGGCACACATTGTGTCCAACATGTGTACACGTATGGTGATCAGTCCAACATGGTGCACAGGGGATTGTGTCCAACATGTGTAACGTGGTGACATTTGGTGATTGTGTCAACATGTGTACATGGGGGATTGTGTCCAACATGTGTACATGTATGGTGATCAGTCACATGGCACACAGGGGATTGTGTCCAACATGTGTACATGTATGGTGATCAGTTACATGGCACAGGTTACAGGTTACAGGTTACAGGTTACAGTAGGAACACAGCAGCCGTCGTGCCGTCAACATGATATTTACATACGATGATGACATGACATAGACAGGAGACTTGTCAAGACGGCTTACATTGTATCAAACACATTTAAATGTCCTTCGATATTAGACATCGATTGTCATCCTTTAGGATTGATATAATCATTCGCATATGCCATGTCCGCTGTTCGTATGGACTGATGATCACGACTTGAAACATCTCTCCATGTAATTACACTAAACGTTTCACACTGATTCTGTCGGTTGCTTGTGCGTCACCATAACTTTTGTGTTTGAGTATATAAACAGTTGGTATACAGGCTAATTACCCAGTATCCACAACATGTCACGTTCTTGCCATTCCAGTGCTGAACCCAGATAAAATACCCTTAGTGTTGTACGTTACCGGTCAGACATTCTGACCGATTCTATCGTTACTACTGAGAGTATGACCTTGATCACATAGACAATATAGTGATGCTTGTATGACATGTGTTTTATGGTGTGTGTATATATGTGTTTTTAGTGGTGTGTATACATGTGTTTTTAGTGGTGTGTATACATGTGTTTTTAGTGGTGTGTATACATGTGTTTTTAGTGGTGTGTATACATAATACTAAAGCTGTGAACACCCAAATTGTCAGGCAAGATACATACTCCGCCGCAAAGGTCATTGGTAATATGGACAAAATGTTCCGTCACCATTAGAGAAACCTATCTTACAGTTCGTATCAACATCATTAGGCTGTCAAATATCACCCCTGATAGATCTATCTTGTCTCAGCAATCTATACCAATACATCTGCTGCTATCAAACGTGGATTTAAACATGAAAAACTCACTTTGAATCGTTGGCTTCAAGATCTGAGGCGGCCATTCTGGAAGACGATCCTGCACGACAGTGATGACAGACTGAGGGTAACGTTATATGTTATCCTGAACACGCAGCTCTACTGGGTAGTGTAGATGCATACAGATACCTCGATTATAGAGCGCTGCTGGGCGGTGTACATACATAAATAGGTCTCCATATACTGCCTTGCTGGGTGGTGTACATGACTACATTTCCCTAAATACACAACATTGCTGGGTGGTATACATGAATTCATTTCCCTTGTTTTACAGGTCAACTTTGTCTGTTCCCTCCATATAGGGTTTTAGTAGGTGGCATAGAAACATACATATCCTCTCTCAAAAAAAGAAATGCATAGGTGCATTGTCATGAATTATTATCTGCAAACTTTGAAGTGAAACAATACATGTAATTCTGAATCAGTCATACAAGGATCAGTTGTAGCCAAATTTCACAGTATAAAAAATCAAATGTCACTTAACACGTATAGCTTAAAAAAGCTCAAGGAGTTACTTTCAGGCGTCCATTCCCTGTTCATCGTTGTGGAATTCTGCGATACCTGCGTCTGTTGTTCTAACGTCCAGGGATTCGGCTGACGTGAACGAACGCGTCGGCCGAGGTCATCCCACAAATGCTTGATGGGAGAGACGATGGGGTTGAGGTCAGCGATTTGGAAGGGCAATGAAGTACTGTATTGGTCTCATTCTAAAGATACTGATTTGTGGCATATGCTGTGCGGTGACTGGCAATCTCTAAATATCCTTCAGGAATAGCTCCCTCTGGCAGTCAATGGCCGGAACCATGTGAATCCTAAGGATTTTGTCTCTTTACCAAAGAGCCTTTAAATTGCCCTGAAGGCACACAAAGTTAGATTTCATCGTGTAGGATATCGCTCCTCACATCATATCACTTCCACCACCATATTAGTCAATCTGGGCAATTGGTACTCTTCTGGCACGGTACTTAAACAGAAAGCGTGATTCGTCACTGACCCATACACGTCGCCAGTTTGGTAGATTCCAGTATGGAACGTTATTGCACCACTGGACCCGTCGATGTTGTCATCGCAGCACAGGGTCAAACTAGGGTCTTCTTGCTCGAAGTCCAGGTTCTCGTAAACAATGGATTGCACCGACTCTCCCCTCAAACCAGGCACATATTCAACTTGCAGTTGCAGTTGCAGTGACTTCGAGGGAGGCCGATCTTGGGTAGGATTGGTTTCGGTCCCATAAACGACTGATGGTACTCTGGTGACCACCCACCAACACCAGCTATACCGGGGATATTTTGAAATAACGGCATCTGATGGGCATCCACCTTCACAGGTGACGTGCAACAGCAGCTTGACACTCCCCAGCTTCCAGACGTCCAGTGGCAATGCTTTGGTTTACAGCAATGAGTCGCAGGATAACGGCATTCTTTCATTTAACTAAACTAAACTTTAACTAAATTTAACTAAATATTTCCGTCTGAATACTTTTTAACCCTAAGTAAATTACTATAGGTGTTACGAAAATTTCATACGAATAATTCTTTCGGAATCATCACTTAAGATGATAAAACGATTTAGTATGTTGATGTAATTAAAGTGTGCGTTTTGTAAACTATACAGATTGTTCTTTAACTTACTCTAAATAAGTATGAATCCAATGTTTTATCCCAATGTCTCAATGTGTAATGGTTGCTTGTAGGTATATCAGTGCTGCACGACTGTCTCGGCCATTTTTCCAGACTAAATATATCTTCTCTTTTGATTTCATGTGTAAAGATTTTTACTGTTTTTGTCATCATTGGCATATAATCAAAATTCAGTCTATGGATTTAACAAGGACGTAAGTTAATATGTAATGTACGTCACGCTGTAGAACTGTAAGATGGTAAGCATGTTTAACAGTAACTAAAGCCACAATACATTCATTCGCATTTTGTGTGATTCCATGGCGTTTTCTTGAAAGGGAACGTTTCATTTTCAAGTTTCAGACTTTACTCTATTCATACAACGTAAATGTGGTCTGGATTTGAAACAGGTACCATGTGGCGTCAACAGTGTGAAATACTGAGTACATATTCTTTTTATTTTTCAGATGAAATAATTGTTTCCTTATTCTCGTGGTTTATGTTGACACTACTACTTACCCGTGAACGTAAATTACTTTGGCGTTTACGGGTACCTAACTAGTGCTGTAAGTCTTGTACTGGTCACTGAGTGCTGAACAAGTATAAACTGTTCATTCACAAGTTGTTCATTTTACTGGGGCGGTGGGTAGCCCAGTGGTTAAAGCGTTGGCTCGTCACGCCGAAGACCCGGTTTCGAATCCCAAAATGGGTGCAATGTGTGAAGCCCATTTCGGGGGTCCGCCGCCGTGATGTTGCTGGAATATTGCTAAAAGCGGCGTAAAACCAAAACTCAGTCAGTCAGTCAGTTCAGTTTACTTGGACTGTACTATCTTCTCTATCTTCTGCACTATCCTCTCTGAATTGTGCAGTTTAGTTCAGAATGACTGGGTAATGCTGACTGGTGCTAGACTGGCGCTCCACGTTCCCAGAACAAGGCAAGGACATAACACGTGCCTTATATACAGTTGCTATGTGCAACCCCAAAACTAGAGATGTTGGAAGAGGTTTGTATATGATATGTGTGGATATTTTACATCCGCTTCAGTGATTCCTGTCAGCAGGGAATTCAAATACATCCAACCAGGAACATCCTCGAAAACCAGCAAGTCTAAAGCAATGGTTATGTCACACTTTACAAAGGAAAACCATTCCTATTCCGGAAACTACCGAGGAGTTAATAAATCGTCACGTGACCTGGCTACAGTACAGCGTTTAGTTGCTACCTGGCTGTCGGCATGACATCACCATACAATAACAGCTAAGTGAATGTTGATGTTAAGTCAGTGACACACCCATATGAATATAAACTCAAGGTTAGTCAAGATAATCTTGACAGCAGAGAGGAATGCGAGGTAGATCTACTGAGTGAAGACCATTATTCAGATGTCAGTACGGAAAGACAAGAACAGAAACTTCACCTCACTAGAATAGTGTACGGTGAGACATGTTCACACCTCTGTTGAACCTCACCAGTAGCATGTAAGGCAAGACAATGTTCACACCTCACCAGTAGCAGGTAAGGCAAGACAATGTTCGCACCTTTGTTGAACCTCACCAGTAGAATGTAAGGCAAGACAATGTTCGCACCTTTGTTGAACCTCACCAGTAGAATGTAAGGCAAGGCAATGTTCACACCTTTGTTGAACCTCACCAGTAGAATGTAAGGCAAGACAATGTTTGCACCTTTGTTGAACCTCACCAGTAGAATGTAAGGCAAGACAATGATTGCACCTTTGTTGAACCTCACCAGTAGAGATGAAAGGCAAGACATTGTTCGCACCTTTGTTGAACCTCACCAGTAGAATGTAAGGCAAGACAATGTTTGCACCTCTGTTGAACCTCACCAGTAGAATGTAAAGGCAAGACAATGTTCACACCTCTGCTGAACCTCACCAATAGAATGTAAGGCAAGACAATGTTCGCACCTTTGTTGAACCTCACCATCATGGTCATGGTTCTGACAAAGCAAAGATCAGAGACCAGCTCCATCTGACAGTTCAGACTATCTCTCTGTATCCTTGTTACTAGGTTACACAACTAGACAAAGAAAACAAGACTTTAACATGTTATAATAAAATAAATTTATTGTAAGTAGGTTTTCTATAAAAGTAATATAACTATAACGATAGATATAGAAAAGAAAAACAACATGCAAACGCTACAACAATTAAAATATATTTCATATAATGTATAAAAATAGTTTGGGAGATAATAATGATTGGTCACAAAGTAAAATATTTGTTGAGTAGAGGTGTTCCAGCCGCGGCCTCTATTGACGTGTAGAGGACGCATTACCCTGACAAGTTCCATCATGATTTAAACAAACATTGCAAACAGTTCATCATAACAAAACGATTGTTGTCTTGAATTAGATTGATTTTCATAATTGAAATAAATGAGATTGTCAGAAAGTAAAAATAACATATACATCAAATGTAATTTCCCATAATCGAACTCCAACATTCTCAATAAAAACAGATCATACAATATATTATTTTGGTATAATACAACCTTGGTTTTATTTCTAGAGATGGTTTATTCTCTACCTACAAATAAATGACAAAGCGTGGAAGCGTCTGACACACACCTTCCTTTACCAAGTCCTTAGTTGACCTTAGGTGTACGTTGTTCGTGTTGTGTAGGATGTACATTTTCCAGAATTTAAATTTGTGATGTGATGCTGACTGGTGAACTTCTATCACTTTGGGTGATCTAATGATAAATTGGTATGTTACAACCAGCTCCTATTCTAAAATAAACTAATCTTTTAGTTGCAACCAGCAGCCAAGTTGGGGAGTATCTCATCCTTACGTGTTAGATATTTGTTTCAAAGAGCAACCCTTCACCCAGGGAAGTATTGGTTAGTCTCTCTGTCAGTTACACACATATCTCCATAGACAATACAAATGTCATTCAAGATTTATAAAGACAGATCCAAAGTCGGAAATACAAGAGAGTGAGCCTGGTGACCTGGTCCATGTAGCCAGAACACACCACATGCATACAGATCTGGGGACTTGTTCTACATCCACGGGTCAACGCTCCACATCTAGTCCTGCTTGGGAGGGGCCTCCCTCTCCACCTCGCAGGAGTCCGGTCAGAAGGGGACTATCTGGACAGAAGCCAACCACATACAGAATCCAGTCTAATGTGGTCAAGATGATCCTCTGGTGGACGACACTGTAGGCAAAGCAGCCTACCAGCACCAGCAACAACTGCGGAGACACAACAGGGGAGTTGGTGGTGAGTGGAGTGAGAGTGGGTGGTGAGTGGGTGAGTGAGTGGTTGAGTGAGTGAGGTGAGTGAGTGAGTGAGTGGTGGTGAGTGAGTGGGTGGTTGAGTGAGTGAGTGAATGGGTGAGGTGGTGAGTGAGTGGGTGAGTGGTGAATGGGTGAGTGAGTGAGTGAGTGAGTGTGAGTGAGTGAGTGAGTGGAGTGAGTGAGTGAGTAAGTGAGGTAAGTGAGTGAGTGGGTTGGTTGAGTGAGTGAGTGAGTGAGTGAGTGAGTGAGTGAGTGAGTGAGTGGGTGGGTGGGTGGGTGGGTGAGTGAGGTGAGTGGAGTGAGTCAAGTGGTGGTGAGAGTGAGTGAGTGGGTAAGTAAGTGAGTGAATGGGTGAGTGAGTAAGTGAGTGGGTAAGTGAGTGGGTGGGTTGGTGGGTGAGTGAGTGAGTGAATGGGTGAGTGGAGTGGGTGAGTGAGTGAGTGGGTAAGTGAGTGGGTGAGTGGGTTGGTTGGTGGGTGAGTGAGTGAATGGGTGGAGTGAGTGAGTGAGTGTGAGTGAGTGAGTGCGTGGGTGGATGGGTGAGTGAGTGAGTGAGTGGAGTGAGTGAGTGGATAAGTGAGTTGGTGGTGGGTGAGTGAGTGAGTGAGTTAGTTTTGTTTTTACGCCACACTCGGCAATATTCCAGCAAAATGGCGGCGGTCTGTAAATAATCAAGTCTGGACCAGACAATCCAGTGATCAACAACATGAGCATCTATCTGCACAATTGGGAACCGATGACATGTGTCAACCAAGTCAGCGAGCCTGACCACCCGATCCCGTTAGTTGCCTCTTACGACAAGCATGGGTTACTAAAGATCAATAGTCTAAACCGGACCTTCACGGATAGTGAGTGATGTGACATGATTGAGACACACTTACTGTGAGACGGCAACAGATGTACCCCTTTTATCAGCCATGTTGCTGAAGCCGAGGGCATAGACTCCCATCAGGGCAGAGGTCAGGTGTCCAGCACAGGCCACTGTGAGGATGTGCTCATGAAGGATGTCGACACGTGCAGACTGGACAAACATGGGAGCATGTGTTATTTTCATGTTACACACGACAATCACAGGGTGGTGTTACTGTCAAACTGTTAAACTGTACTTGTGTTAAACTACACTGACTGAGGACAATGATGCAGTACTCACAACCAGCCATCCCACAAAGGCTGCACTGACGATGTCAATTGTGCCAAACGTGGTTTCCATGAGGATGTCAATCTTGAGGCACTTGTTGATGAAAGAATTTGGGCCCGACTTCGGAAGGGCAGGCACCACTTTGGTAGAGATGGAATGCTGTCAGACCAAACCACATGGCTATCGACAGAACCACAAAGGGTGTGCTGGAACACAAGAGGAACATCATGGGATGTCTAATGCATTCATTTCATGTCACACTGTGGTCAGTGGGGTTACACACTAGACGGTGAGGTTGTATAAAGTAGATGGTGAGGTTGTATACTGTAGATGGTGAGGTTGTACACTGTGGTTAGTGGGGTTGTTTACTGTAGACGGTGAGGCTGCACACTGTAGACAGTGAGGTTGTATACTGTAGATGGTGAGGTTGTATACTGTGGTCAGTGGGGTTGTTAACTGTAGACGGTGAGGTTGTACACTGTAGATGGTGAGGTTGTATACTGTAGATGGTGAGGTTGTATACTGTGGTCAGTGAGGTTGTACACAGTAGACAAGTGAGGTTGTAAACTGTAGACGGTGAGGTTGTACACTGTAGTCAGTGGGGTTGTATACTGTAGACGGTGAGGTTGTATACTGTAGTCAGTGGGGTTGTACACACCGTAGACAGTGAGGTTGTATACTGTAGATGGTGAGGTTTTATACTGTAGACAGTGAGGTTGTATACTGTGGTCAGTGGGGTTGTACATAGTAGATGGTGAGGGTTTTATACTGTAGACGGTGAGGGTCGTATGTTGTGGGCAGTGGGGTTGTACATAGTAGATGGTGAGGTTTTATACTGTAGACGGTGAGATCGTCTGCTGTGGTCAGTGGGGTTGTACATAGTAGATAGTGAGCTTTAATACTATAGACGGTGAGGTTATATACTGTTGTCAGTGGTGTTGTACATAGTAGATGGTGAGGTTTTATACTGTAGACGGTGAGATCGTATGTAGTGGCCAGTGGGGTTCTACATAGTAGATGGTGAGGTTTTATACTATAGACGGTGAGGTTGTATACCATGGTCAGTGGGGTTGTACACTGTAGTAGATGGTGAGGTTTTATACTGTAGACAGTGAGTTTGTATACTGTCATCAGTGGGGTTCTACATAGTAGATGGTGAGGTTTTATACTGTAGACGGTGAGGTTGTATACTGTGGTCAGTGGGGTTATACACTGTAGACGGTGAGGTTGTATACTGTAGACGGTGAGGTTTTATACTGTGGTCAGTGGGGTTGTATACTGTAGACGGTCAGGTTGTATACTGTGATCAGTGGGGTTGTACACTGTAGACGGTGAGGTTGTATACTGTGGTCAGTGGGGTTGTATACTGTAGACGGTGAGGGTTGTATACTGTGGTCAGTAAACGGTGAGGTTGTATACTAGTAGACGGTGAGGATGTATACTGTAGATCAGTGGGGTTGTATACTGTAGATAGTGAGGTTGTATACTGTAGTTGGTGAGGTTGTATACTGTAGATGGAGAGGTTGTATACTGTGGTCAGTGGGGTTGTATACTGTAGACGGTGAGGTTGTATACTGTGGTCAGTGGGGTTGTATACTGGAGATAGTGAGGTTGTATACTGTGGTCAGTGGGGTTGTATACTGTAGATAGTGAGGTTGTATACTGTAGTCAGTGGGGTTGTATACTGTAGATAGTGAGGTTGTATACCGTAGTCAGTGGGGTTGTACACTGTAGACGGTGAGGTTTGTAGATAGTGAGGTTGTATACTGTGGTCAGTGGGGTTGTATACTGTAGATAGTGAGGTTGTATACTGTGGTTAATGGGGTTGTATACTGTAGATGGTGAGGTTGTATATTGTGGTCAGTGGGGTTGTACACTGTAGATAGTGAGGTTGTATACTGTGGTTAGTGGGGTTGTATACTGTAGATAGTGAGGTTGTATACTGTAGGTCAGTGGGGTTGTATACTGTAGACAGTGAGGTTGTATACTGTGGTTAATGGGGTTGTATACTGTAGACGGTGAGGTTGTATACTGTGGACAGTGAGGTCATACTGTAGACGGTGAGGTTGTATACTGTGGACAGTGAGGTTGTATACTGTGGTCAGTGGGGTTGTACACCGTAGATGGTGAGGTTGTATACTGTAGATGGTGAGGTTGTATACTGTGGTCAGTGAGGTTGTATACTGTAGACGGTGAGGTTGTATACTGTAGATGGTGAGGTTGTATACTGTAGACGGTGAGGTTGTATACTATGGTCAGTGGGGTTGTATACTGTAGATGATGAGGTTGTATACTGTGGTCAGTGGTGTTGTACACTGTAGACGGTGAGGTTGTATACTGCAGACGGTGAGGTTTTATACTACTGGTCAGTGGGTTTGTATACTGTATACGGTGAGGTTGTATACTGTGGTCAGTGGGGTTGTACATAGTAGATGGTGAGGTTGTATACTGTAGACGGTGAGGTTGTAAACTGTAGACGGTGAGGTTGTATACTGTGGTCAGTGGGGTTGTACATAGTAGATGGTGAGGTTGTATACTGCAGACGGTGAGGTTGTATACTGTGGTAAGTGGGGTTGTACATAGTAGATGTGAGGTTGTAAACTGTGGACAGTGAGGTTGTATACCGTGGTCAGTGGGGTTGTACACAGTAGATGGTGAGGTTTTATACCTGTAGACAGTGAGGTTGTACACTGTAGTCAGTTGGGTTGTACATAGTAGATGGTGAGCTTTTATACTGTAGACGGTGAGGTTGTATATGCTGTGGTCAGTGGGGTTGTACATAGTAGATGGTGAGGGCTTTATATACTGTAGACAGTGAGGTTATATGCTGTAGTCAGTGAGGTTGTACATAGTAGATGGTGAGGTTGTATATACTGTAGACGGTGAGATCGTATGTTGTGGGCAGTGGGGTTGTACATAGTAGATGGTGAGGTTTTATACTGTAGACGGTGAGATCGTCTGCTGTGGTCCAGATTAGGTTGTACATAGTAGATAGTGAGCTTTAATACCTATAGACGGTGAGGTTATATGCTGTTGTCCAGTGGTGTTGTACATAGTAGATGGTGAGGTTTATACTGTAGACGGTGGACAGAAGGAAATATGTTTTCGTTTTAGCTTGGGTTAGAGCGCCCGGAATACACCTCGTCGCTATGCGTATATATGCACGTGGGTTTAAAATCTCGTTGCATTTCGTGGGGATAACTGACGACAGCGTTAATCAGTTTAACATCGGCAGTTAGTCAGACATATTGCTGAGGGGACAGGATCGTCCATATCGAGCTCCAGCCAGGAGTTACAAATCGCAAAGTAGATTACTTCCATTATCAGGGAAGCATAGAAGCTTAGTTAACATTCACACTTTCGGTGAATGTACAGTGCAGAAGGATTTTCATTGGGTTTACTGTTTTGTTTCTGTTTTTTGGTGTATTAAATGTTCAGACATAATTATTTTTGACTTTTCGTTTATTTTATAAATGGGGAATACGAACTGCCTCATTCCCATATATGGTAGCAGGCGTGGTTTCAAACGGTAAATTAATTAATCAAGCGGTAAGTCAATTAATCAGTTATGTCTGACATACAGGAAAAGGCTCTGTAAAAATGGTCAGTTCAAACCCCAAGAACCAAACGGGTCTCAGTCACAACTTGAGGGCATTTTGAAACTGAAACAACAAAAACCAATGCAAAGTCAGCCTTCACCAAAGCTAAAAATATAAGTTGTACAGTCTACTAGGAATCATTTCCTAATCAACCATCTCGTACAGACATAAGAGATGGTGTAGATAAAATAAATGAAAGTCAGGTGAAAGCAATCAATGTTATGATAAAACTGGCCTTTAGCGTATGCAAAGAATCAGCAGGGTGAAAATGTTACTAAAACTGAAAAAGAAATTAGTCATCTGGAAGATGAAACTAATGCTGTAGTTGAACAGGCGCAAGCTCACTTAGATAGTAATGCAGATGCAACGTCTACGTCAAGAGTAAGGGACTTTCTAGATTGTTTAAAATCTCAGCAACAATCTGCAGAAAGGTGAACAAGTGTTCACAACAAAGCAACTGATAAACCTTGTGTTCAAAGCAAACAACAGAAAAGCACACCTTGTTATGTAAGCAAGAGTCGCACAGTCATGCAATAGGAACTGATTTATGGAAACAACTTAAACGTGTTTCAATCCCAGTATTTTCTGGTGATGTAAAATCTTACGAAAGTTGGAAAGCTGCGTTTCTGACATGCATAGACCAAGCACCAGCGACTGCTGAATACTAAGTTATTGCAGCTGAGGCAATATCTGGCACAGTGGTGACGCGCTGAAAGAAAGCAATTCAAGGTTTGGGACATAGTGCTTTGGCCTATGATACTGCGTTAGAACGTCTAGATAGGAAGTATGGTGGTAGGAGGCGTCAAGTAGCGTTACAGTTAGAAGAAGTGACTAATTTGAAGCCTATTCGTCCAGGCTCTGCTAGAGATGTTCAAAAGATTTGCCGATGTCTTGGACATTGCAGTCGTTAGTCTGAGAGAAGCAGATAGAGAGTAGGAAGAGCTTGGTAATGGGTTATTGTATGCCACACTGTAAAAATGACTGAATCTATGGTAGCTCAGTACCAAAGGTGGCTTCATGATAGAGATAGACAGAGTCAGTCGAGACGTTAAGAGAATGGGTACTTCCAGGAAGCTGAATACCAAACAATAGCTGCAGAGACAATACATGGTGTTTCTGATAAGAGTAAAAGAAAGAATCGTGCCTCGTTTGTCCAGTGAGATACGACAAAGTAAAGGAGTCACACGAAAGGGATGTTGTATGCAAAGTTTGTGGTGAACAGCATGTGTTATGGAAATGTAATGTGTTCAAAAACATGAGCCAGTTTCCGAGAGATGGAACACTGCTAAGAAATTGAAATTATGTTTCCGCTGTCTTGGTGGCAATCATCGTGGTGCACAATGTAGATACACATATAGGTGTGGGATCAATGGGTGTTCGAAAACCCATAATAGGCTTTTTACATGATGACACATTCAAAATAGACATTGCACAACGCAATCTGGACTTGGAAAATGGTTCAGTTGTGAATAGGAAAAATACTCAAGGTAAGTTCTGGAAGCACAAAGGTCATGATCAGGGTTATTTCTGAAAGGGCACATGCGACTCATGCCATGGGATGTAATGACCAACCTCGCATAGCCCTTAGGACAGTCCCAGTAGTG